CCACACAAGTCACAGAAAACGCGTAAGTCAACCTCAACTCACCTACAATAATATTTCAATGATAGGCGATAGTAACCTTATCGAACTTCAAACATTCTCTCCGTTGAACGAGCTTCGTATTTGCCTCCTCCTTTGGAGAAAGCATGTAAGGGTGACGTCCTTTTAGTCACCGGGCAAGCACTGCTGTGTGTATTACACGGATTACCTATGATTGACAGCATCGGTTGCAGTCTTTGTCATCATATATATGTATTAACGGTACGAACAAAACCATGCGGTGCCACGTGTTGAACGTGTTTAAGGTATTGCTACCTTAAAGGGCTGCTAGCAATCCTGATAACACGTGATTTCCGAGTTCGGCATATGCATCTTTCCGTGTATTTCCGAAGTTGGTTGGTCTTCGGTGTATGGATCGATCTCGCGAACGCAGGGAACGGTTGAATGCTTGTCCACAGATTCGGCAGCGTCAGGATGTGACCCAGGCGGTTGAAGAAACAAAACACCCGACACACTTCAGGAAACTTTCGGTCGGACTCTCTCCGGGTAGCCGTTGAACAGAACTACAGAAAAGGCTGTGGTGTAGCGAGCACGATACTTGTGTTTGGTGTGTAAGCACGTAGCGGCTGCCTTGACTCGAGTAGCTCGGCAGCTGTATAAACAACGAGGAAAAACCCAAACGCTTTCGAGTATCGGCTGAGCACAGGCCTTGAGAAAGTTCGCTGTAAAACCGGATGCGGAAATTCTGCCAGACAACACGCAACACCAAACCGTACGATCGGTGAGAAACCGCTGATTGCCTGGAGCCTCCGGATCATCGGAAAGTAGGTTTGGTATTTACAGTGCCTCACGAGCAAACGAACTCTCGTGTTGGGTTGTTTTGAACGCAAGTCCAAGTATATCAACGATACGAACATCTCATTGGTGATCAGCGTCACTGAGAAACCACCTGCATTGGCAGACGCGGGGCGCGTGACCGTTCGAGGGATCATAAGCCAAACGCCACAAGCGTCAAAAAAGGCTCTGTGAGCCAGTGAAATGGGTCCGGTGGATCAGCGGTTGGAAAGGAAGACGAATGCACTGACAACACGAGGAGGGGGACACAAAATCGACGCCCCTGCATAAGACTGTTAACCTTGAGCAATCGATTTGCTGTCCCTTCTCCTGCCGTTGTTTGTAATGGAGAAACAGGGTTCAAAATAAGGATGAAACTAGCATCGTTCAATAACTAGCTGATGCATGTGTTTTTGAGTATCATCTGGGACCTCGACGACAGAAGGATGAAAAGAATCTCTGACTAAACAAAGCAAGATTCAGCATGAAGCACCGATGAGCCCACCATATTTTCTCTTTATATCAGATCATCGAGCAACGTTGAAAATTCAGGGTTCATGGCACGTCACCTTCATCGACTTCCTTGACGCTTTTGATTAGATCCACTGCCACGGTCGTCAGCATAATGGAGAACACGTACGAGTTGATGAAAAACGCTGTGAAAGTTCAAGGACAGATTTCAAATTGGTTCCAGGTCAAGGACGATGTCGGATATACTATTCCCTCTGCTCTTCAGCGCAGAAGTAGCTCATATTCCACGAAATATGCTGGACTGTACAACGAGGATGGTCTCTAGCTGGAATGTACTAGGTACGTGCTAAGCAATGCCTCGTTAAGAGATAGTGATGACTCGCAAGCTCAAGTGATGTACACAACTGTAACGAGAATTGATCTCCGACTAAACAAGCAAAAACAGAGGCGACAAAGAATCAAAATGAAAATAGAGTCCAATGTAAACCTCGAAGAAATAAATTAGTTTAAATACTTTGGCCCTGCCTGATTCAGTGGCAATAATTATAATCAAAATCTGAATGGGGGGGTGCTGATTGCGCTGGCTTCGCTTATGCTCAAGAGCTTATCGAAAATATGCAATGGAACGGGAATAGCAGTCCACACCCAGATCAGCTGTACCGCTCCGCTATTGGAGGTAGATTTTGTATTACGGACTGATATGACTCCAGGAGCGCTAACCGGGACACCTACTGAATATCATATGGCAAGATTGCAGTTGAGATGACACGTCCAGGAGTTATCTGACCTCAAAAAATCTTAAAGAGTTCCGGGACAGAAAATTGGCATGGCAAGGTCATCTTCAGGGAAGACAACAGGACTCACTGGCTCTTCAGATGTTGCTGTGGTAGCCGAATCATGAATGATGAAAGATGGAGGACAACACATCATGTAGCGAGGAAACTCGAGATCTGTTGGTGATTTGGAATCTTTCCTTCGTTAATAAAATATAAAATGGTGAGATGAATGAATATCAGAATTTTTAGCAGCCTGAATTTTCACACAGCCGCTAAAGGTGACGATGAGAAAAACTATCGGTGATAGCTAGTTGAATAAAATATGACATTAAGAACGGAGTCAATTTTAAGCAATTGAAAGAAACATTATAAAACATAAACAAAGCAGTACAAACAATGTTGTTGGGGTTGCAGACATAAGAGTTTATCAAACCACCATTGTGAATGTATCCATTGCAGATTACGTGTGTTTATTTGGATTACCTCCGAGAGTCGTCTGCAGGAGGAGGATTCTCCAGCTTGCGGTGTGCGATGCATCCGCAGATTTTCAGTACTTTTCCTATAGGGCACTGGCTACTGTGTCGTAGAAGAAAAATTCACGGTGCATGCTGGCCTACCAATCGATGTCAGTGATGTATCGGCTGAGATATGAGCAGCTCAGAGGCTGGTAAAAATGGTTCGTATCCAACCAGTCTGCTTGGTACGGCAAATCTGTTTTTAAATCTTTATCAGCGAAGTGAATATAGCTATTTTTTAGACAGTCTAATTTTTTCCATTGAGTCTCGGAATGTCTAAACAATCCTTGGGAAGTGATTCAGCTGGTCCTTAAAATTGGCATAGTGACTTGTCGATTCATTCTGTGCCAGTGGTTGTGACCGACTTTCCTTCAACCGACATGTCTTTTCATAAGCATGCCAAAAACGCAAAAGCAGGTCGACGATCCTCCAATTTTCTCTATTCTTAAGCATTTTTTTTTTGTAGTGAATCAGTGGCGATGTTTCCGGAACCGTCTTCCAGCCACAGAAGGACAGCATTTTGTGATGCCCTTGTCATGGACAGACGAACAAATGGACAGATATCATTGGCTAATGGCTATCAGCCAGCGTCTCAACGTACCGGAATGGCAATGGGCCCCTGCTCCACTCCCAAGCCCTGACTTCAGCATCAACTTTCAAGAAACAGCAACTGCAATTTGAAGCGCTACTGTACCCCTCTTTAAGCCCAAAGTCATAGCAAAAGCAAAAACTGAAGCGTAAAAATCACGGAACGATTCTCGTGAAAATCTCTCCGAAACTGCGATCTATTTTCAATCATTAAGCTGATTGCAAGTCCGGTTTCAGTCTTTCGTTTTTCTCTAATTTATTCGTCCAAATAACGAAGAGGCAGGGGTTCGACAGGGCTCTTATAGTGTCTTAATTCGCTTCCATACGAACGGAAATGGATTGTCCTTTGCACCCTGGTTTTACCATTTCCGTTAATTTCGAAATATATTCCTCCGAGTATATAAACACATCTTGGGGGAATATATATTCCATATTCATTGAAAGGCGACCTTCCCCCTTCGGATCTACTGTCGTATTTACCAAATTGCAGATAAACTGAGTTCGATTAGATCCGGTTTGTCTTAAATTAAAGGGTGGTCTGAAATGATCGTTCGTCATCAAATGCAAAATTAAGTACAAAATTTAGAA